TACCGCAACGAGCGCCACAATAGTGGTGGCCTGAAGCCAGGCTCTGCGCACACGTGACACCGACAATGTTCCAAATAATTATATCGCAATTATTTGTGTATGTTTTCACCCAAATGTGAACATAATAGCATTCCTTCTCTGACGAATAGTTCTGATGCATTCAAAATCGTCACCATGTTTTTGCAAATTAATACAATTTGAATCGGTTGCAATGACCAAACAATGCAAATAACAGTGAATAATTAATTGATGAAAATGTTTGCAGCAATTCACTTGTTCAGTCATACCATCCACAACAAATAATTTACACAACACAATAATTGTTTTAATTGAAAGAAGCTTCACAATCAATAAATATGTTAGTGATGGGTTTAGTCTATTGCATGCTTTGAACAATGTATCCAAAATGGATGTGAGCATTGTTGCTTTAATTCGATTTGTGGGTCTTTTTCACAATTCCATAAATCGCAACGGTTTGATCGGTTGATATTCGCGCTTCATATTATCCTGGTTTCAGTTACAACGTTGGTGTTTGTACAATTTTTGAGCCGAACCTTTGGAGACAAATTGGGAACTATTAACGAGCTCATAAAATACTATACAATTCTTATTGTCTACTGGTTGTCTTTATTGGAGTTATATTCAAAGCGAAACATTCATCGCCAATTTTGGAGTCGCCTAGAAAACATTGATAAACATTTCTGCTCTCATCGAAATCTCCGTTTTCATGCGTACACCCTGAAAATATCAATCTTTACTTTTTGTGTCGATGTATGCAAATTACTTCAATGTTTTGTTCTCAATGAGAACAAGCGATTTGTATTACGTTTGGTTTTGCTACCTACATTGGATTATTTCTGAAGAGTTCAATTGTTGAATTATCTCTTTCATTTAAATGAATTGAAAATGATTGACCGTAAAGTCAACGCAATGTTAGAAGAGTGTGGGTGTGGAAATCTCAAGTTCGGAAAACATTTTCTGAAGAAATTCTATCGCAAACGATTCAAATGGATTTGGCAAATTCTATGATACGATTTATGATTTGTCCAATGCCATCAATGCGATATTTGGATGGTCAAACGCAGCCACCATTTTGTTTTCATTCCATCTGATTGTAATTGAATTCAATTGGTTCTACTGGAAAATATTCAATCAATTTCCTATTGATGCGATAGGTAATCATTTATGGTCATTGGTCAATGTTGCATTTTGAATCTATTCAAATTAAAACTTTCAATAAACTAAACTAATAATAAACGAAATATTGAAGCATCCGATCCATTTTTCTGATTTCTAGAATATTGTTTAATGTTTTCACTCCTGACGGCGGTTTAATTGGTAACAGATCGCACATTTATGAAGCGACTCCCTCAATTTTCGATTGTACTCGAAAAATCAATCCAATGACACGTGATTCAAAGCATAATTTTTATCCTAGGTGGAATCAATCATCATGCAAATGAATCATCAGCCAATAGTGTTATCATACCTAAATTATTTTTTCACTATCGTTAATTCCGGCACTGATGAACTAATACTATGCTACATGTGCCTTGCCGTTTTTTTGATTGTCATGTTTTTCAAACATTATTTGTTTTACTATTTGTTTCATTTGGAATTTATCATATTCGAACTGAAAATCCTTTGCAACGAACTTAATGATGTGTTGGATGAAGAGGAGAAGACAAAAAACGAACAAGTGAATCAAATGGATTCGTGAATTGTATGCATTAATTTATGATTTGTGCGATATTGTCAATGCAGTGTTTGGTTGGACGAATGTGGCGTCTGTTTCGGCATCATTCCTTCTTACATTGGCCGAAACCAACTGGGCATATTGGAAATTCAACAAATATCGCATTCACTTAATTGGTAAGATTTTTCCACTCTACTACTCTATTCGATGCATTTCTCGACTTAAAATTTTGATTTAATACATTTTCCATTCAGAATACACTTTGGCATTCATTACTTTGGTGGCTATTATTGTGTTTCTGTTTCAAAGCACACCTTACTGCTATAAACTGGTAATAAATTTTCATTAATTAAATTTGACTTGTATTTTCAAGTCTTACGAAGAAGCTTTCATGAATATTACATTAACCATCGTCGCCATAATAATTGAACTATTGAAAAATATGCAAAAATTATGCATTTTATAAAGTATATATTCATTTCAAAATGAAATTTTCATATCTTTGCTAGGCAGAAAACATTTTCTACAAATTAAACAGAGTGTCTTTCAACATTTACGATGAAGTTACAGCTTTGCATGTTCTTTTTCATATCTTCTCTACTCACACTTCAAAGTTTTCACTTGATCTTACGAATAAATTGACGAAAATACCATTTTTCATATTTGTTCTGAAGGTCGAAACCACAATTATGCAAATTCAACATGACGTGCTGATTTTCCATGCGAACGGATTTTTCACTATAAGCTACAGTACCATGCTAAAGGTAAAAAGAGATGGTTTTTGAACATTTCCATTTAAAAGTTGCCGATAGCTAGGATATCTTTCATTTCAGTTCATCAATGGTATTATTACGTATACAATTTTCTTCATTCAATTTTCGCCCAAATACCAACTTTGTCATATCGATGGTGAGTGTCAACAAAAGTGGAAGGGGCGATGGTTTTGAATTAATTCCGACAGATAATCTATTAAGTAGAATCAAACAATTAAGTTCATGATTGAATAAAGGAATAATTTCAAATTGGAAGAATTATTAATAAAGAAGAAAAAAACGAGTGAAAAACGACTAATTTATTGCTTTTAATTATAGACTGTCATTGATGGGCAACAATGAAATAATAGAAATGAATGAAATTTACCATAACTGCTGTTAGCCACAATTTGTTGGAAAACTAGAGTACTCGTTTCAGTGATGTGTCCGGAGAAGTGTCGGTTTTTGTTGAAAGATAAAGTTTTCTACCGTTGTTCAATTCCTCGTAAGGATAATGTATCCACGCTGGCTGGAGACGTTGATGTGGTACTTTGACCTATGGGGTCTACCAACTGAATTCCGCATCACACATCGCAAAGCTGTCCGATTCGCATCGACTTTTCAATTCATTTTGGGTTTCATAGTTACGGGTTTGTTGATAGTTTATTTGCAACGACCCATCCATGATCCGCTTGGCACGCTGAATAACGTAATCAAACACGGTGGCAATGTTATCGTTTATTGGCTAGCACTTATCGAACTAAGTACAAAGCAATCCATTCGACGCAAATTTTGGCAAACTTTCAATAAGATCGATAGCTCATACTGTTGCCATCGGGATTTCACTTTGCGAAACTATCTGATGAAATTCCGTTTTTGTTTATTCCTATTTTCCCTTGCATTCGTTATGTATTTGCATGGAATGACTATTCACACCGGAACCAAATTTTTATATTTCTGGTTTGCCCATATCATTTTGAGCATATTTTATCTGAATCGAGTGTTTTATTACTTGTTTTACTTGGAATTAATCAAATATGAATTGTGCAATATAAAATGTGAATTAAAAGAAATGGTACAACGGTATCGAAATAGATTAAGCTTTGTAGGCAAAACGAATAGAGCTTTTTTACATGATTTTGAGAGAAAGCGCTTTGTATGGATACGTGAATATTTGCAATCAATTTGCATAATGGGCAATTGTCTGAACAAATTTCTCACCTATTCAAATGCTGCCATGGTGCTAGTCTCATTTCAATCTATCGTTACTGACATACTGTGGGTGTACTGGAAGTTGTATAATAACCATCACATTCGACCACTAGGTTAGTTGGAATTACAACTTTTTCTTTAAGTGTACAGGCTGATAGTATGTACATTGCACTAGAAGAAATAAGAGAAAAATGACGTTGTGTATAAGGAAGTAAATTTAACAAATCAATCGTTTGTCTCTTTGTGTCAGATTACTTTTTGTGGTTTACACTTTTAATATCCGTAGCTTTTGAAGTATTTCGAGTTGCAACGAGGTGTACAGATGCGGTAAGTGCCTTCAATTCTATACAGAACAGTAAAATGAACGCATTTCTTTCATCAAATAAATTACCTCTTAACCATTTTGTTCATTACGTTTCGTATTAGTTTTTCGCTGTAACTCATGTTCTGTTTTTACTAGGTTGAACACATTTGTCATTATCTCAGTGTGATCAATTTTCAAATGGACGATGAAGAAATTGCGCAGCAGGTGATTTCATTTAAAATTCAACGAAGTATTATTTTTTTTCAATTATTTGAATGAAAATTCGTTGGAAAAAGGTGGAATTGACTCTTATGCAAATTCAACAAAACCCAATATCTTTCCATGCCAGTGCTCTCTTCCGAATTGAATATGGAACAATGCTACAAGTATTCCATTAATTTTCCATCAATGTGATTGCATTTATATGATTAAAACTTGGCATTTTTTTTCAGATATTGCATGGAATTTTTTCTTATGTCATATTTTTCATTCAATTCTCACCAAAATATCGACTTTGCCTAAGCAACGGAAAATGTGAAAATTATGTACATTTAAATTATTGAAACATTAAAATTGGAACATTTGTAAAACAAGTGCTATGCATATTGGTTCAAGTGTATTGAACATTGTTTTAATTGATCTTTGTTGAAGATAAAATTGTTTTTTTCTAGTAACATTGAAAAAAAAGTTTCCTCGCAAATGTTCGGCATACATTTTGATTGACAAGTGCTTTGAATCGGCTAAATAAATATTTTTTCAAAAAAATTACGTTTGGTTGTATTTTGTACAATTATTTCTGCGAATTTTAAGAAAGAGAATGTGCAAACTTTATGCTTATTCCTTTGTGAGGAATAGAAATTCGAGAAGAATCATGATGATCGTATCCATTGAATCGAATGTGGTCTGGTCATGAGGGTTGAATTTAAGTCGAAGAGGTCGATGCTGAAAAAGAGATATCAAATAATAAAATTAAAATTTGTTGGATATAAAACTGAACTATTAAAAAAATGTTATAGCGAACAATGGAGATGCATACATGTGGCTGAACCACCGCTACCGCCGTCGGAAAAGGAAATGTTAGGAAGAAGAATTCGTATTGTCAATTCCTTATTTGCGCTGGTTGAGCTTGTGCTTGATGTCGATGACGGCGATGATGTGGCACTGCCTCCATTACCACCACTGTTGCCACCGTTGTTGTTGCCACCGTTGTTGTTGCCACCGTTGTTGTTGCCACCGTTGGTACCATTACCACCTGAGTTGCCACCTGAGTTGCCACCTGAGTATCCACCTGAGTTGCCTCCTGATTTGCCACCTGAGTTGCCACCTGAGTATCCACCTGAGTATCCACCTGAGTTGCCACCTGATTTGCCACCTGAGTTGCCACCTGAGTTGCCACCATTTGAAAACGGTATGGGACAAACGGTTGGACATTTGTTGGCCTTCTTTGATTTTCTACATTTGCAACTGCTACTGGCACTTGTTGTTGGGCACTTCTTGCGTCTAATTTGGTTTTTATATTATGTATTCAGAGATAACATTATAATTTAATTTCCATTTTCAATTGAAATGTCAAACTTCTTTGAAAATTGTATACTTGAAAACTAATGAAGTAATATGGATTTTAAAACTTTTACTAAAAATTCGCCTATATTCTGTGTGTATGTATGGGAAAATGAATAATTCTCACCTGCATCGGCAACGTCGAACTGTTATTTTGTTTGATGAGCCAGATGACGAGCTCGAGCCTGAGCTCGAGCCCCTCGATCCGAACAAACTCAGTTGTGCTGATGGTTCTGCTTCAGCCTCAGCTTCAGCTTCAGCATATGCGTCTGCCTCAGCAAAATTGTATGCAAATACCGCGAACAATACACCAATGAATATCCACGAAATCTTCATTTTGAATAGAATTTTTCAAAAAATAAAACGTAACTATACTTTTTCTATCACAATCGTTTTTCGTTTGTGGATTTACTCATGAATTCACTAGAACAAATCTCGTTTCAATTTTTTCGCACTAAACTCTGAACGTCGAATGATAGTTTTCTCCAAAAAACGGCCTCCTTTTATAGGTGTCAAATCAGTACAGCTTGTATCGATTTATTTGCTCAAACCACAGAGAGTGTTTTTTTTACAAATTACATATATTAAATAGTGCATAGTAAAGCGCCATAAAAGTATGTTATGCAAATTATACCATTCGATGTTTTTAGGCTTTCTTTATTTAACCCGGCATTAATATAATATCACTATAGTAGTTTAGTATTGAAAAGTGACAAAGTAAATCACTATCCAAATGTAGAAATTGATCATTTTTAATATAGAACGAAGAATTCAGTCGGCGAAATTTATGTTATTTGAGTTTGCTCATTTGTGTATTTTTTCCGAGAATAATTGCCTTACAAAAGTAGTGATATCAGATGAAAAACCTCTAGACGAGGTTAAAATAGAGTGACGCTCCTGTGCGTGGATTTACCACACAAAATGACTGATATCATTTTGAGTGACGCTTTTACGCTGTATTATCTCTGGGTACGAAGTTCAAAAGTGTTTTTCGCATTCACTATTGTGAAAATTTATTTACAATAAGGAAAAATATCGCGTCACGACTTTTGAATTTAGTCTTCAAGTCAAGCTTTAAAGTGTTTTGCCGTCCAAAAGTCGTGACGCGATATTTTTCCTTATTGTAAATAAATTTTCACAATAGTGAATGCGAAAAACACTTTTGAACTTCGTACCCAGAGATAATACAGCGTCAAAGCGTCACTCAAAATGATATCAGTCAATGACTGATATCATTTTGAGTGGTAAATCCACGCACAGGAGCGTCACTCTATTTTAACCTCGTGTAGAGGTTTTTCATCTGATATCACTACTTTTGTAAGGCAATTATTCTCGGAAAAAATACACTTTTGCCAGAAATATGTCTATTTTAAGGTCTTATCATTGGGAAATTGTAATTTTTCGGGTAAAACATTTGCATCAACATTTCACAAGTTTTGTAAATAGAAAATTTCCACTTTCTTTAAAAAAGTCCCATTTTCCCCTTATTGGACATTGTAAAATGTGATTAAATTTCAAAATATCCATTAAAAGAGTGTTGAAGTAATTTTAGTCCCATTTCTTCATTGAAAAATATTAGTTCCAAACCACCAAATCTCTGAAAAGTGCATTTTTTATGTATCCCCCGAGCAAAAGTTCAATTTCATACATTCGGATGCCAAAATGCCGATTTATGACCAAAATGACAACGAAATGGATATTCAAGTGTTCGTGGACTCCCATTATTTTCACGAAAAATAGAAGTTTTCTAAAACTTAAATGTCGTCAGAGGTCTATTTCACGTGTTTCCTGAACAAAAACATCATTTTCAGTGCAAAAAGTGCAAGTTGAAAAATTCACTTCAATCCGACCTATTTTTCGACCATGAAATGGCCTCAGATCGCATTTTGACTTTTAATCGATTGCTCGTCGAAAATTGAGCGGATGTGGTCTTTTGTGAGCCTTTTTCAGCCAGTAGATGCGTATTTTTGGCAGCAATTTCATCGTAGAATGCGACACTTCGTACAAATTCCGTTCATTGATGAATTGCCTATGCCCAGAACTTCGAAATACGAATTTTCCCGGATATGTGGCATATGCCATTTTGTTGGTATGGTAGCCGGCTACAAACGCTCAGTTTTTGGTAAAAGATTGTCGGGCTGATTTTTGAGAAATCGCGTTTGGTGTGAAATTTAAGGGGGTCGATTTTTCATAAAAATCGACTTTTTTCTTTTATATCACATAAACTTTGGCATGTGTGTATGGAACTTTTTGAAGGTCTTCTCAAATAATTACGAGTTGAGTTTGCCCGATGGGTGTCTGAGTTGATCTAGTGTGCGAAATAAATACTTGAAAAAATCGTATACATGCAGGCTAGTGAAGCCATAGCCAGCTCTCCTGTAATGCAAATGTCAATCTGAGGACGGGTTTCGATGTGGCCCGACACCAGCTACAGCTTAGGCATATCGGCACCGGAATCTGTGGGGGTCAAAAAAGTTTCCGGACACACTGACGAACGAACGGACGGACGCACAAATCAATACTTTCATAAAAAATCAAGATCAAACTGCCAATGCCCATAACTTTTTCGTTTTTGAACCAATCGGGCACTTGGACCGGCGTTGGAAAGGTGGCGAGGAGGAGCTTCTCTTGGACACCTCAGACGACCCCCTGGGTACCTCATTTCGTAAGATATTGCCCATATCATATGGGTATAGATTTGAAAATAACTTCGTGCAGCTTGGCGTCATTTCCTCCACTTCCATATGTTTGCATTGATGGTTGAACTTTGACCTGTAAGCTTCTACAATGGACGTTAAATGCGAGTGGAGACGCCACAAAAATGACTCCAATATAGTCGATTATTGATCAAACTACTTTATCGAAATTTTCCAACCGTTATATTTTTGCCTAGACCACACTTTAGGCATGGGGGATATGGTTTTTCCGACTATTGGATCCAAGACCTTTCCAACGGTACCTAACATGCCGGGGCCCAAATAGTGTCCTGAGAAAATAGCATATTTACTGTATATATACTCGTGACGCAAAAACTGGCATTTTTGATATTTGGCTTGAAATGCACAGTCTATGGTGCGTCACTTGTCGGACTACCGTCCTCCGTGATATGTTATAATTATTATGATCAGAATTTTGTTGATTCAGATGTTTAAAAATGACTTCAAATGGTAATTAAATGGGTAAACTAATTGCATTTGAGATATTTCACATACTTATGGAATTATCTTTTTCATGGTTTGAGATGCGACTGTTCGTTCTATACCGATCAAAAGCAACTACATTTCGTCAGTTGTCAATGTTGTCATTGCTGCAGTAGAAAACGTTGAATTTTGTTTTTGAACACAATGCTTAAAATTTCATGAAATTTCACCTGCAGCTTGGATTGATGATGTTAAATTCGAAAAAAAAAACATCCCATTATTTTCCGTGCTGTTGGTTTTTTTATGTTGTGGTCTTTAATCCCTTTTTAAAAGTATAATGGATCAACGTGAAAATTAATCCATGATTTGGAAGCAGCTGACATGAAAGTAATTCGAATGAGTTCAGGTGTTAATCGTAGAGATCAGTGCGAAAATAGAATTACTAATGAAGATGAACTGACCAGACACCAAAAGGTATTAATGGTCTTTAAAAGTTTATTGTTGTTGTTGTTGTTGATGGATCAATGTGTCTTCATTCTATTTACTATTAATAAATGAAACAATTCTTTTACTTTTCCGTACACAACGTGTCAAGGGAAAGTATAGGAATTGGTCCCGAAAACTTTTTTCGCAAAATTAGCTTAGATCATCATAAAAACTCATGAAACGCGTAGAAAACCACTTTTTGGGACACTTTTCCGTTCGTGTGCCGTCGTTGTCGTCGTTGTCGTCGTTGTCGTCGTTGTCGTAGCTGTTTGTAAACACGATAACTCAAAAAATAATTGAGATAATCCAAATCTGAAAGTCCCAAAAGTTTTGTATCCAATAAACTTAGTTTAAGTTCGAAGATGAGCCATTTTCGATTTGACCCTGGGGTACTTGCCCTAAGAAAAACCTCAAAAAATTGACACTTTTGTATGGGAGGTACCTGTAAATCGACTCTGATTGGCTTCAAACTTTCTGAGATTTAATTTTTTGGGAAAAAATAAGATTCTGAAAGTTTGAAACCAATCGGAATCGATTTACGGGTACCTCTCATACAAAATTTTTGACATTTTGACTAAAATTACCGATTTTTGGACAATTTTGTATGGGAGGTACCCGTTAATCGATTCTGATTGGCTTCAAACTTTCTGAGGTTTCATTTTTTGGAGAAAAAATAAGATTCCAAAAGTTTCATGTTGATCGCATTTGCAGAAGTTTGATTTTTTGTCCTCAATTTCGGCCGACATTTTCTTGGAAAAAATTGAGGGCCAAAAACCAAACTTCTGCAAATGCGATCAACATGAAACTTTCAGAATCTTATTTTTTCTCCAAAAAATGAAACCTCAGAAAGTTTAAAGCCAATAAGAATCGGTTTACGGGTACCTCTCATACAAAATTGTCGAAGTTTTAGTTAAAGTGACCGATTTTTCACTTTATTTTTATTATTATATTTTCACTGCCTTAATTTCAAGAAAATTCACAAAAAATAATCAAAAGTACCCCAAGAGAAACGGCCAATATGTTTATATGCTGTCTATCCGCCGAAAATGCACTACAATATATTCACGCTTATTGAACGCCGAATCGAATATATATTCTAGTGTATATTTGGCGTATTCTTCGGCGTGAAACATATTGAAATATATTCAGGCGCCCTCTGGTGGCCATGAATGCATTCGTTTATTCAATATGTTTCACGCTGAAGAATACACCGAATATACACTAGAATATATATTCAATTCGGCGTCCAATAAGCGTGTATATATTGTTGTGTATTTTCGGCGGATAGACAGCGTATAAACATATTGGCCGTTTCTCTTGGGACCTACGGACAACGCAAGCCAACGGTACGGAAAAGTTCGGGATTACCAATGTATTTCTTTTTATTATCATATATTTCCATTCAATTAATCAGAGTTTATATTACGTAGATGTCTCTCTTTTTACGGAAATATTTGCATCATATTCGTTTTTATATTGCCTTGGTCTCAAATCAACTTTAGAAAAAATATTGTTGTAAACAAGTAAATAAATATTTTGTGAGGCCATTTCGATAAAATATTATTCTAATAAACTTACATTGTAACATAAAGCCATCATACGAAAGTCTGACTTAGTTAGCTCGCCGTGTGAATTGTGCAGTGACGCATTTGACGATGTCAGTTTCAAAAATAGCGATCTGATTGACCCAAATTTTCGCGCACATACGTGCTATATGCATGCTACGGTGTTAGCATACGTCACGAAATAGTCATTACATTTTCCGGAAAAAGAACATCGTGTGCGAAATATGAAATTGATGATGCAACAATGAAACAAAGACAAATCAAATTTAACATTTCATTTTATTCGCAACATAGGCTTAAGCATAAAACAGCACCATCTGCCGTTGATCATCGAAATTTAAATTGGGAATAGTCTATATAGTGGCGAAAATGTGTTTCGAAATTTGAAACTTCTTTATATACCTATTGTATCGAAGAAATATTTGTTTTGTATAAACAAAGTGTCTAAAGTGCTAATTTGAATATTGCGCAAAATTCAAAGAAAAAAAATATATTATTTGAATAAATGTGCATTTATTGTAGGAAAAGAGCGCTGATGAGCGTATTTTGTTCACAATTTGTTCGTTGCAATTAGGAAGGCAATGTGCAAATTCCAATCTGTTTTCCAGTTGATTCCAAAACAATAAGTTAATCTAATCTATTTGTTTTGTAATAAATACATAAATAGGGAAATGTGCAAGGAATATCGTGTCCGTTAAACGAAGATTTGCAGGGCAAGGATTGTCCATTGAATCGAATGTGGGCTGGTCATATGGGTTGAATTTAAGTTGAAGAGGTCGATGCTAAAAGGAAGATAACAATTATTAAAATTAATTTGTCGGATATAAAACTGAACAATTGAAAAGTGTCGGAGAGAAGTGAATGCACATACATGTTACTACACCACCGCCACCACCTCCCGAATTTCCTCTCGTTGAGCCTGTGCTTCCTGTCGATGATGTCGATAGCGTGGTCGATTTGAACGAGTTCGACGTGCTCGACGTGCTCGACGTTGAACCCGGGCTGGTGGACGATTTCGTACTTCTACCGGTATTGCCTCCGGTATTGCCGCCTGTAGATGAGGACCTGGTGCTAGAGCCACCTGATCCTGAATTGCAAACTATTGGACACCTAGTTGTGGTCTTCTTACATCTGCAGCTGCTAGCCCTCGTTGTTGGGCATTTCTTGCGTCTGAAATTACAGCAAGTATTTAAATCAAAATGTTCGAAACCGCGTGTTGGCTTAATAACTCACCTGCATCGGCAACGCTTAACGGTCACTTTGTTCGATGAAGAGCTTGAGCCCGAGCTCGAGCCCCTCGATCCGAACAATCTCAGTTGTGCTGATGAATCTGGTTCAGCATCTGGGTCGGCGTATGCGTTTGCATCAGCAAAGGCATATGCAGACACCGCAACCAAAGCACCAATCAATACCCATGAAACTTTCATTATAAAAAGATTTTTTTTCGCTTTTTTCAAAAAAAATTTTTTAATTTTTTTCCTATCACTATCGTTTTACTTCTAACGATTTGTTTATAAATTTACAAGAAAAAAAAATCTACTTTGGCATTTTTCCGCACTTAAGCTGTGAATGCCGAATGATACTTTTCTCCAAAAAATCTGTCGCTTTATATAGGTGTGATTCCAGTACAACATCGAAAGAAATGAATATTTGCTAAAACCGATGACAATATTTTTTACAACGTGAGGCGCCAGCAAATTGTGCTATGCAAATTATATCATTTGATTTTTTGGGGCCATTCACATCTTTATTTAATCTGTTATTGTTATAATACTATGTATGTATAGTATTGAATAGTGGCTTGTGTGTAAAATAGATCATTATCCAGGTTTCGAATTTTGTTAGTGCGAAAATATTTGATTATGTTTAGTAAAAGGAGAATTTACTCAGCCTTCTTCTTTATATTTACATTTATTTAACTACCTATTAGTTTGAAATATAGCTCATTTCTTGCATTCATTATATCAATAGAAATCCATAATTGTTTCTAACCGAATTTTGTTGATTTAGTTGTTTTAGCCTTTCAATGGTAATCAAATGGGTAAACCAATGAGAGTGACATTGGAGATAACTCATGAATAATGTGAAACTAGATCACAATCCCAACATCGAACGAATCTTGTGCTGCGTGGAATAATTACTCTTACAAAACGCTTTACCATTTTGAATCTGATCAAAACATTGCGCAAAGTATAAAGAAATAAAAAAACCTCATTTGATGAAATGAACATTTATTTTAGAAGAACAAATATCAAAGGGAATACTATTTGTTCTGTGCAATTAAGAAGGCATGTGCAAATTCTAATCTAGTTCTTTTGTAATAAATACATAAATAAGGAAAAGGAAATGTGCAAGGAATATCGTGTCCGTTAAACGAAGATTTGCAGGGCAAGGATTATCCATTGAATCGAATGTGGTCTGGTCATGAAGGTTGAATTTAAGTCGAAGAGGTCGATGCTGAAAAGAAGATATCAATTATTAAAATTTGTCGGATATAAAACTGAACTATTGAAAAATGTCATAGAGAACAATGGAGATGCATACATGTGGTTGAACCACCGCTACCGCCACCCGAATTTGCACTCGTTGAGCTTGTGCTTGCTGTCGATGACGTCGATGATGTGGTACTGCCTCCATTACCACCACTGTTACCACCTGAGCTGCCACCGTTATTACCATTACCACCTGAGTTGCCACCGTTATTACCATTACCGCCTGAGCTGCCACCGTTATTACCATTACCACCTGAGTTGCCACCGTTATTACCATTACCGCCTGAGCTGCCACCGTTATTACCACTACCGCCTGAGTTGCCACCGTTATTACCACTACCGCCTGAGTTGCCACCGTTATTACCATTACCACCTGAGTTGCCACCGTTATTACCATTACCACCTGAGTTGCCACCGTTATTACCATTACAGCCTGAGTTGCCGTTATTACAGCCTGAGTTGCCGCCTGAATTGCCGCCTGAGTTGCCGCCTGAGTTGCCGCCTGAGCTGCCGTTATTACCGCCTGATCCTGGATGGCAAACGTTTGGGCAGCTATTTGTGGTCTTTTTACAGCTGCAGCTGCTAGCCAACATTGTTGGGCACTTCTTGCGCCTGAAATTACAGCAAGTATTTAGATCAGAATGTTCGAAACCGTATGTTGGTTTAATAACTCACCTGCATCGGCAACGCTTAACGGTCACTTTGTTCGATGAGCCCGATGAGCCCGATGAACTTGAGCCTGATGGACTTGAGCCTAATGAAGATGATCCTAAAGAAGAATATTATTTTTCAAATTCAAACTTCATCGAAAACTGAACAAATCCATCTAAATCTGGATTAAATTTCTATTGTTCAAAAATGGTAATGTGAACGTATGATCCAACAGTTTCACATTTCTCATTATGAGTGAGTTTCACAGCATTTCGCCACTGACTTACCCATATTGAACAAGCCACTGAGCATTTGTGCTTCTGGCTCTGGTTCTGGTTCAGCAAGAGTAACAGCCTATTAAATGATTTTCAGATTGATTAATCATTGTCTCAATTGAAACTATTTTCTTTACTCAAATCGATGTTCAAAATTAAATACTCACAATGATAGCGAACAAAACGGCGATAAAGATCAGTGAAATTTTCATTTTGAATTGATTTCTTTACTGCTTTGGTAGAACTAAGTTGAAAGTGCACTCAATATCGAATGATACCTTCTTTGAAAAATCAGTCCGCTTTTATAGTTGAGATTTCAAGATGAAACCGAACCGATTTGTTGACTCAACCCAGAGAATGTTTTCTAAATTTACATGTGTTAAAACTTGTAAATTTCGGCGCTCCAAAGTGTGTTATACAAATCAAACCATATGACTTTTTGAGGCTATTTCACAGCATGTTTTCCAAATCTGGTATAAAACGATTGAAATACCTAGGGCATAGTTGACACAAATTATTGGTTTTGCTTATTTCAAACATTTACCAATGTCTATTCTAAACTAAATAGATTCTTAGAACTTGGATTAATTTAATTGTGCATGTATTTCTGTGTCTATTTGAATCAGTTCATAGTAATTGAAAATGGGTTTGTTTGAAGGTGAATCATTTCATTGATTAAAATGTTTATTTTTGCTGCCACGGTGACATCTCCATTAGATTTTAAATAAAGAGTTTCTGCCAAAATATCTGCGTGTGCATGGCTTTTTACATGAGGGTTACATATAATTGGACACCGTAGTTTGTCATTAGTTTATATCATTACGTGGCGAGCCACAGAACTATTTCATGTACTGCTAACAATGTATACACCCTGTTTTTTTTAAATTGATTCGTATGCAAGGACTTGACGGCACCGATTTGTTGACTTCAGCCAAAGAATATTTTCTAAATTTACATGCGTTAAAACCATCCAGTGATTGTGCCTTATAAGAGCCTGTGTTTACAGGAATGCTTTTGCATAGTAGCGCCGCACGTTGTTTGTGCCTTGCTTATGTTATACTCTACTATGCTTCAGATGACACAATACAATCATACAGTGCACACATACACAATAGTTCCGACAATTTGCCGTAGTCTGAAGTCATGGCGCTAGTTATGCAACATCATTCAGACTAGCAACTAACGGATAAAACTTGTAAATTTCGGTGTTCCGAAGTGTGTTATACAAATCAAACCATATGACTTTTTGAGGACATTTCACAGCATGTTTGCCAAATCTAGTGCAAAACCATTGAAATAGAGCATAACTACAAAGAATTTTTTTCGCTACTAATCACATATTTGACATCGTCTATTCCAAACAAAGTACATTGTTTAAATCAAATATTTGATGGTCTAATTTTGCATTTAAAGCATTTATTTGTTCATAGTGATTGAAAATAGGTTTCAAGGTTCAATTCATTGTCTCGCGCGTGTTTTTTCTGCTGGTTACATCTCTATATCAATGTAAAAGTAGATTATGAATAAACAGTTTTTGTGAGAATTTTTGTGTACTTGGTTTATTTAAGTGAATTCGTTTGAGAGATCTAGCACCAATTGGCATTCCTTCTTTGAATCAGTGAAAAAAACTGAATTGGAAGCATTTTTTTCTATTGAAGAACTCACTCAGATCAGGTGACTTATATGCCCAGTGGATAGAAGTTGTCAAACCATGGAAAAATTAGGCCTTGGTCATAGGTTCCATTTTGAGATACAGACTCCAGGAAAATCGATTTTTCAACTATTGGATTGCTATATGGATAATTGAAATTTAGTCCAAAAAAATGAAAAAACTGTCCAAAAAATCCCAAAACTTTATGTCGATTTTCACATTTTTTTGGGCTGTTTCGAAAAAAAAATTATGAAAACGTCCAAATCTGTTTTCGTCTCCTATTCTGAAATTCGAATTTTGTCCAAAATATTTCGGAAATTGTACAAAATATTCGGTCAGGCGGGATCGAAAGCAATTGCAATTACCTTCAAATTGAGCTATTTAACAGTAATATTCAATTAAAATTATTTGCAAATTTTCTGTGTTTTGTGTTGTAAATTAATTTGCACAATTTATTTCAATTGAACTACGGAAATAAATTTAAAAATAATCAAATCAAAACCAGTCAATTCTTTCTATTTACCATTTATTTCTTGACTCTCTGTGAAGAATAGGTAGGCTTTTGTCATGAATCCAAATTCATTTTTTGACAAATTTTGGGAGATTTTCTCAATATTTTGGACGAATTTCAAAATATTTTTGACAAAATAAATTAAATTTGATTTAGTATTGATTGCATCATCATCGGTTTCGTTATCATCGCATTTGATGTTTTTTAAATAGTTGATGAGAGTGCGGCCTAAGATAAAAAATAATGGCTTTCTAAAGATTGGAATCAAATGTTGGCAATTTTTCTTTGATTTGCTTGAAAGAATTTTTATTGAAAAAATCAACATTTTGGTAATGTTTTTTTGCTTTTGAATCGTAATACATATGCAAACTCTATACTAGTAACCTTTTACAATAAATACATAAATTAATAAGGAGCAGTGTATAGGTTGTCGTGTCCGTTAAACAAAAATATGAAGTGCAAGGATTATCCATTGAATCGAATGTGGTCTGGTCATGAATGTTGAATTTAAGTCGAAGAGGTCGATGCTGAAAAGGAGATATCAAATAATAAAATTAAAATTTGTCCGATATAAAACTGAACTATTGAAAAATGTCATAGAGAACAATGGAGATGCATACATGTGGCTGAACCACCGCTACCGCCACCCGAATTTGCACTCGTTGAGCTTGTGCTTGCTGTCGATGACGTCGATGATGTGGCACTGCCTCCATTACCACCACTGTTACCACCTGAGTTGCCACCTGAGTTGCCACCGTTATTACCACTACCGCCTGAGTTGCCACCGTTATTACCATTACCACCTGAGTTGCCACCGTTATTACCATTACCACCTGAGTTGCCACCGTTATTACCACTACCACCTGAGTTGCCACCTGAGTTGCCACCGTTATTACCAGAGTGGCCGTTATTACCGCCTGAATTGCCTCCTGCATTTCCTGATATAATAAATTATTTTTCAATGAACATCACAGATCCCAACAATATTCAAAGTAACTATACCTCCTCCTTCAACTGGCACCACAACCGGAATAGGACAGTATTTGACATATACTTTCTTCGTCTTTGGACACTTCTTTCTAGAGCTGGAGCCGGAGCTGGAGCCGGAGCTGGAACCGGAGCTGGAGCCGGAGCTGGAGCCGGAGCTGGAGCCGGATGTTTTGCAACAGCCACACTTCTTGCGTTTGGCCTTTGCCTTATTACGGAGTCGCAAAATCACACGACCATTACTCCTTGAAGATGATGATGAACGCTGTGGATCAGCCAAAGCGTCGGCAATGGCAAGGGCAGCTGGTTCAGCAAAGGCATCTGGCTCAGCTTCTGGGTCTGCGAATGGATCTGGCTCAGCGTATACCTGTTATAACCGAACCCTTTTCTTTCAAATTTTGAACCAAAGAAAAATTTACAAGCAATTTTCTCACCTTCAAGGCAACGGTGCACAAAATTAAACAAACTAAAATAATTCTCATCGTGTCCACCTGTGCTAATGCTACTTCGACTCGACAATTAAGTCGATTGATACCGTTCGAATAAATTACAGCGCCTTTTATACATTGCTGTTCGGCAAAAATGTCAACATAATCTGTTTAAATATTTGCATTTCAAGATTTCTACGAGATAAGCGACCGAGATTTATTCACCAGAGAGCCAATTTATTTTTGTCAATTTATTTGCATAGTCTCAATTTCCGCCCATATGTCCATTAGATTCTAAACATAAAGAAAAAAGGGGAAAAAACTATTAAATTAATATGTTCTGATTTAAAATTGCCAAATATTGATGTTTACACCTTACAAAAATGATCATCTGACAATAGCATGAAACTAGTCATTTCATTAATAAAATGATGTTGATGATAGTAATAATAATCATCTGAAGGCGATCCCGTAACCCACATTTAAAAATGGATATAAGAAAATATGTTATTTGTTCAGTATAAAATGTAGTGCCAAACAAAAAATGAACATTTTTCTCCATTATTATTACTAGCAAATTTAATCACTAAACGAAAGTAGATTAACCAAATTGAGAGAAAACAAAATCAAATCCAATGTTACTTCATTCAATGTGCGCATATTTTTAGCTTAATCAATTGAATGTTTGTTCAGTATCGATTCACGTGGTGGTTTTGATTTATTTTGTTGAATATTTCGCGCTAAATTGAAAAGTTCAATACACCTGCTTACGATAGACGTTGTAAACATACAATTTTAATTAGCTGAACAACAATTTTAGTCGTTTACCAAGTAAGTAAGACCAATGTCACTGTGATAAAGACACTGTTTAATGTTTACACATCTTTTTTTTGGGCAAAATACTTTTTGTTTTGATATCACGACAGAAGGAATATATCAAGCTAAAAGATATTTGAAATTGCTTATTGTTTCCAAACTGTGTATGCAATACTGTCTGTTTTCAAGAAAGTCTCCTAAACCAATGGATTCAACAATACTTGTGAAAAATTTAAAATATTCTGAAGATATAAACATATGAAATTGATTTACATTTTATATTTATTGGAACATTGTGATTTACATACTGCATGCAACTTAAATCCTAACAACAATCAACTTGAACAGGTTGTGAGTCTTACGAATTTAATGCTTTGAATGTTGTTGATATTTGAAAAAAATGATGAAAGTTTAAAGAGAGTCAAATGCAAGCCTAACAAATTTGTAGCTTAAATAAAATGGTTTCATTTAGATTATTAAACTGTCTATGGAGCCATAGTATCTCAACGAGTGTACGATTTGATCCATGGATGCTTCATGACATCGGGCAAACTTGGCCGGGCACTGTGACTCTTTTGTAATAACTGAAATGAAAGAAATGATTAGCAAAATTATCTAACATTTTTCTTACAACAACAACAACAACAACATAAGCAAGCATTCAAAGGCCTGACCTTTTTCTTATTTTGCAAATTTTGAAATTCCAAGATCGAATGACAATTGATTTCCCAAACTGATTTCCCAAAATCTATGGCTTCGTACTATAACCATGTAAAAAGGAAAAATCGAACCAAATGTGCGTCAAAAAGGAAAACATTACAATAGTGTTTCTTATTTCGGAGTCCCTTTTTAGCGCACTTTTCATTCTGTGTCTCCTATTCATGAAGTAACCGTATGAAACCATAGATTTATTATCACTAGCTCAATTCATGGGGTAACAATGGGCTAATCATCTCCACTTTAACAAACTAATGAAAAAAAAACTGTGTTTCATCTTACCCCAGCAATAAGATCCTTTGCACCAATTGACAAATGGCTAGGATAGTCAATTTCTAATCGTCGAATTTTCGCGTATGTTTTCTCCGAATCGGGCGATTCAAATGGTGGCCGTCCGACCAAAAATTCATAGCATAAAATACCCAAACACCATTGATCCACTGTGTCATTGTAGGAATGGCCTTCAACCCTGGGAAAAATACCAAATTTGATTAGGTTTATATAGAATCTTCATTTTCATCTGACTTTGTTTTTAATTCTGTGAATGAGTGAATGAATTGGACCAATTCTTTGAATGAATGAACTAAATATTCATTTTTTGTTTGTATCAAAATCAATCAATCTAAAACATTCTTCTTTGAATCATTTAAAAAAAAAGCCACTTACATTTCAGGTGGCAAATAGTCGAGTGTTCCGCACATAGTTTTACGTTTGTTTGAGTGTGTATGAGCTGACCATCCGAAATCGGCCAATTTGATTTGATCGCCGACGGTAAGCAAAATATTCTCTGGCTTCAAATCTCGATGAATGACATTGTTTAAATGGCAATATTGCAGCGCATCGGCCACCTGGTACGTGTACCGAGCTGAACGATCTTCCATGAAACGACCATTCGGTGAATTTTGTAAATGTTTGTACAGCTCTCCCTCCGAAGCCAATTCCAAGGCCAAATATATTTTACGATCATCGTGAAACCACGTGTACAGCCGCAAAATGTTTGGATGCCTTGACAAAAGATTTGTGTTAAATACGAATTTACTCACATGTTCATATGTATGGACAAAAAGACACAAACTCACTTCAAACGCGACTGAATTTCAATTTCACGCAGCACTTGCTTCTCGACGCGACCATTTGTTAGTTCGGACTTGAACATAATTTTCATTGCAACCATAAAATGTGTTTTTCGTTCTCGGGCTACGTAGACACGACCAAATTTCCCTTTTCCCAACGGGCATCCAAGTTCAAAGTCATCTTTTGACCATTCATAACTAAACAATGATAAAACCATCGAAATGGATTAATTCAAAATGGAAAATCAAAGAGATTTGATATGATGAATGTATTTTTTTTCTTTTTTCCAAGCCAAAATGCCGTGAATTTTAGTCACACGGAACGACTTGAATGGCACATTTTCTATAACAAAGCCTCTGATTGTATCTCAAACACTTACGGTTTGCCATATGCTTCATGTGACATCATTCGTTGTTCCACTTGTGCAGCGTACATATTTTCTTTATCCTCACGACTTTTCGACATTTTGGCACGATATTTTTCGTCAATTAACTGTTCACAATAAGTAAAAATACGGAATAAAACAAACAACAATACTCTGGAAAAACAAAGAAAAATGCGGAATTTTCAACAATCGGTTGTTGTGTGCTTCGTTGCGACAAGCAGTTGAAATACGAAAATTTAAATGGCACAAATGAACCATGTTTGACAGTTCATGTAGTGAATAAAGCCGCGCTGCAAAATGGTGGCGCTGAGGTCATGATTTCGATGTTTCGTTTCAATTTTTGTAACTTTTTCATTGAGATACGATCAAATTCGTGTGAAAAAAAATTATTTTACGCAAATAAGTTAATTTTCATCAAATACAAAATGAAATATATTTACAAAAAAAATTGCTTTTCGTTTTAAAAATAACGAAATCCAAATCAAACGTATGTGTGTACGTTGAAATTGTGACAGAAGTGCACGTTGATAGGTTTTGTCTCATTCGAAATACCTTTCATTTTTTTTTTTGTTCCTGTTTCGAACTGACACTTTGACATTTGTCGAATAGTTGCCAAACATGCGTGAAATAGAGCAAAGCTGTTTGTTTTGTTTATTTCTATCAAGTCAATAGTAGTTGATAACAGTGTCAATATTATATCGCAATATGGGAAAGAATAAATCGAAATCAAATGATAAAGAAAGCAAAAAAAGTGCTGATACGGCGATAAGTTCACTGTCAGGAAAAGTGACAAAAAGTCCAAAACCACAACCAATCACCGACAAGTTGAATGCTGTCATCAAATCGGTGGGATTACCTGAAAATGCCGAAGTTTTAACCGCTGATCAATTGACGGAGAATCAAAAGCATGTACTGAAAAAGGTTTGCGCCAAAATGTACGGCCATCAACATTCAGAAAGAAAAGCAATGCCGGCCAAATCTTTGGAATCAGCGACCGCACAACTAGCACAAAAGATGAAAGAAAAACTCGCCCAAAAGAAAAAAGACAAGAAGAAGCAAAAACAAAAGACCAACAGCGATTAAAAGGCAGTTTAAAAACTTTCTTTTTATTTCATCACATAAAAAAAATCAATAATTGTCATTATAAAAAGCATTTTATAGATTGTGTATGCAATAAAATGGAGATATGGACAGATTCACAACTATGTTTTGATTCTTCTTCTTTTTTTTTGATTCTTGAGGATTCTGTATAATTACTCGTTGATCACGTTCAAGATGAACTGATATGTAAGTATTCACACACAAAGATGCCGATGATTTTGTTCAAATTCGTTACAGTGGCGAAGTCAACGGAACGCAAGTCATCGGATGATGTGTGCCAGACTTCAGGGAATGGTGTCGGAATTAAATGTAGAATTGGAACCTGCGAAAAAAAGGAGTATTATGAGTATTTTTTATATGAAATTCACATTGTGAATACAACGTAAGCATATGCAAGGCATATCATTCGTCGACAAATCATTGAAACGCTTGTTGCTGTTGTTGTAATTGGCAAAAGAAAAAAAACTCGTAAAAAACATTGGAAATTCTATTTGAACTTACTTCTCTGCGAAGGAATGGAATGTGATCGTCTTCAATGTGCATTTGGACATTGTATGGTTGGAAATAGCCCTGGCTCCGTTTTTTGTGGTGAGCACTACTGTGAGCTTGTTCAACTAAACCACCGGAGGCTCCAAGCCGCGTTTCAATATCGACAAGCTGATAGTACCAGGTTTCTGTTTCGGGGAAGTAGTTGTAGAACGTTGGTTTTGCTGCACCTAGCAAATCCAATAGCACTAACACATCCTGTGGTAGATACAAGATCATTTGAGTGAGTTTGTTGAATTAAAATGAAAAAGGAAACGAAGAAAAGGTAAATGAAGGTAATTTTAATCATTTTTAGGTTCAACAATGAAATAAAATGAAAGAAAAAAAAACATTGCCTAGCAAACAAAATAGGAAATAAATACGGAAAATAAACAAGGAATTTTCTTTGAAAATAAATAATCAAAATAGCAACCAAAAGTGAAGAACTGTTATACTTACAATTTTCTCAAGTTCATTTGCTTGATCCCATTTATGTGCAAGGTGTCGTGCACCATAAATGGAGTCTTTGGCATTCCAATTAACGACCGCCTCTTCGCCATCAAAGAAAATATACCTCAAACTCAGTTGGCTGTTTTGTACCGATTGCAACTGAGTCTTTAACACGCTGGCAATATTCATCATAATTGCACACGGAACGGCCGAATCAGTGGCTCCAACAAAATTCTCCATAAGCTTGCTATCATAGTGGCATGCAAGTGTTAAATATCGTTTTGCATTTGGATTTACGTCGGCAATGATATTGGTGAACTTTGTGCGCCCTAATGGTGTGTCATCGAAAAACTCGTTTTGTTCAACCGACCAACCGAGTTTGTGCATGTAATTAACGATGTACTCGCGAACAATGTCATGGCTGGGTGTTCCCGAAACTCTTTCGATTAATATATTCGATAAAACATTGTGCACTTCCTCAATATCGCCCAGTTTTTTGTTAAGTTCCCAAAACTCTTGCTGACTTGCTACTTTGGACTGATGGTTTTGCTAAGTGAATTAATTAATACGCAAACATGTTTGTTTATTAACATATGTTTTGGATATCATTGGCAAAATGATTAATTGTTTTTTGGCCTTGGTTTCTTTTGACCTACCTGTGCTGCACGCAACGAAGATTCTCGATTGGTTACCGATCGAGCACAAAACACACAAATCAATATGCAAATCGTCCAAATACTTGGTAATTCCATTCTCTTTTTCTTCAGTTTTCTAACTTTCGCCAATCACACGAGTTTTATTTCTGATTTATTTTTTTGGTGTCGTTTATGTTATGAAATACGCGTCATATCAAGCAATTTTTCACGCTTGAGTTTATGATTTGATTGGGGGAATTTCGAGCGATCGATCGGAGTGATTACTAAAAACGATCTATGTAAATTGCTTGCGCGAAATGGAATGCTAGAACTCATGAATGTCAGAGTAAACACGAACGTTTGTTCATTTCGTGCGAATTCAACAGATACTTGTTTTACATTGAGCACACTCTCACTCACTCGCACTGTGAGGCAATGTGTGTATGTCACAGACAGCTGTTCAAAAACCTCACAAATGTCACAGCTTTAAAATGAACCGAACTGGTGACAGCCGACGTATTTGGGGATAGTGTTCGAAATTCGAATTATGTGTTATACAGCTGAAGAGATGACGCGCTTGGGATTCAAATTTCGATTTCGCTTAGGATTCAAATTTCGGCTCCATTTGAAATTCAAATTGAAACTGCTGACGATAAAAAGCGAATTACAGAGAATAATTCTCCTCAGTGAGAATAGATTTCGTTGGTACAGAGAACGAATTACCATATAAAAGCCTCAAATAACCGCTGAAACAGATAGAAAAGACTCAGAAATGAAGAAAACACAAGCAGTTTTTTTTATTCATTGTAATTTATTGTTTTTCATTTTTCTTTATTTTCTGTTTTTTTTGTCATCTTAAAAACCCTAGAACAGGCAATTTTATCATTATAATAGTAATAATTCAGTAATAATAATATTTTGTGTGTGTGAGTGTTTTTTTTTTTTTCATTTCATATAGTTTTGAGAGTATTTTTTTTTTTTTGGTATTTCTTCTTCAATTGTTAATTTTTACTAGAAGAAAATTTAATTTAAATTCTCCAAATGATTCAGTTCAATGAGAAAGTATAATCGACACGCTGAGTGTGTGAGTGTATTGGGTGAATTTTTTGTTTCTTCTTTTTGTTATAAATGTTTATCATATGCATTGCGCGTAACTGTGTGTTGTGTGTTGTAATTTTTGTATTTTAATTTAAAGTGTTTTTTGTTCATTTTGCTGAATTTGCTCATGTTGCTATGTGGGTTAAATTCAAATGTCTCAATCTCGATTCTTAAGAATTAGATTTGTTTTTTATTCCTTCTAAAGTGTTTTTTTTTCTTCTTCGGTGTAAATTCAACGAAACATAACATTTTTTTTGTGGATTCAATTAAAGTTTAAGTGTTTTTTTTGGGTGTTTTTCTTCCATTTTTTGTTGTTGTTGTTGTTGTTTCAATTTGTTGCTAAACCTCTTATTATGACTGTTCCTTACACTATTATTAATAGTAGATTTGTTTGTTTCACATAATCATCTTTCATTCTCATCAACGAATACATAAAATATTCTATTTGCTTTTTATATGCTGTGTATTTTGTGTTTATCTTTGTCTTGTTTATTTGTCAGATTTTTGGTTCTAAAGTTTATCATAATATTCGTGCGCTTGAACATTTATCTGTTGCTTTTTGGTTTTACTAGTTCTCTCTTCTTCAATAATTGGTAGCTTGATGCTGAACATTTCATAGTTTATTTTCTGGTGAAAACTAAAGGAACTTAAAATGATTGACGAAATACTTTGATCGCATGCACACAGGATGATGTGCATGCGGAAAAACAGAACGGTGATAAATTCATTTATGAAAATTCAGTGCAAACAGGTAAATAACAAAATCATGTAGACTTATACTAAATGAGGAAAAAAAAAATGAACGAACCAAAAATTAAAAACGAACAAACCAGCAAGGATTCAATTTTCGAGTTGAACACAGAATATTTCGTTGTGCCAGATTATTGACCGCAATTTATTCTCTTATATCGATTTTTTTCATGTGTGCATTTGGAAATGCGTGTGTGGCTGTGGCAGAATGCTGTGTTTCTGGTCAAGCGGTGTGTATGTGTGTAACAACAGGAACAATAAAGAATTTTTTTTTTCATTGCAACAGGTGATTTCATTCAATCTATACCGAGTTGTATGATCGTTTGGCGAATTTAATATGCAAATTAATTCGTGTCAATTTGTTTGTTATTGTGTGTAGATTTGTTTGGCTAATAGTTCGTTTCTGAGAAATTTGCTGAGTTGTGCAAGTGTGTGGATGTTGATTTTCATCGTCGAAATTTATTCATAAAAATTGAATGGTTTTTTTTGTTGCGTTGCGGTGTCAAAACACACAATGATTTTCTTTTTTTTTTTTGCTCGACCATATCATTCGAAATACTTAGATCAAATGAGAATGTGCAGCTTCTCATATAACAGCTTCATGTCATGTGTTAGGTTTTCGTCAATTTTTTTCTTTTTTTTTTTTGTTCATCTCAAATATAAAACTATTCTCGTCAATATGACGAAACGATTAAATCTGCTATCATCGCGTCATTTCGATTACAGTTTTACATATATAATATAATGCTGAATCATGCATAGTGTCTGTGTGTGTCTGTGGTTTTTTTCTTCTTCTTCTTCTTCTTCTTCTTTGGTTTGGGATTACGGTGCATTGTATGAGTATGTGAACACAGTCGGAGACAATCGTTGATGCTGCTTTCTTCGGAAAAGTATGATGATAATTTTTCCGTTCAACAGCTTTGGTGACCGCATGACTGTGGCACATGTTGCGAATGATTGTGGTTGGAAATTAGATGAATATTCTTGGCATACAATTGCATACCCATCGTGTTTTGCTAAGAATCAAGCCAATCTGCTCTGTCCACACCATTGATTCCGTCTGTATTCACTGTATTCATATCCACATCCGATTTCCGTCAATTTCCATTTTTCATTAAATATTACACAATTTTTCTTTAAATATTTCACTAAATAATTTGTTTTTGTTTTTTTTTAACTTAATCATTTGCACACACTTTCATAAAAACACCCATTGACATACACTCGCGCTCAATCTCTCTTGTTCTGTATCTCTCGCTGTCAACATGATCTAGTTTCATCTTTGTTTTTGCAATAATAAACCCTAAATAAGAATATTCAGTTTATTTTAATAATTTCTTCGTGTTGGTTTTGTATCCCAATTTTTTTTTTGTATTTGGTTTTGTGTCATTTTTTTTATCTATAACGTAACAAATATATATTATACATCATTATAATAATTTTTTTTTGGTTTAATATGTTCCGTTTCCTGCAGCTTGTGCTGTCGACAATATTATTCTTCTTCATTTTTTTTTTTAGTGTAAGTATTCGTTTTGTGTTCATAACTGTAGTATTATAATAAATATTTGATCTATAGTAACCTCTTTTTGAGCGATGTGCGATGAATTGCGCGACGATTCCATTGATTCGTGCTAATAATTTTTTTATTGGTCATTGGTATCTGATATCGACATTGTATATCAATCTAGTTCCATGACTATTTTACTTACTATCTCTGTCTTTTTGCTGTGTGTGTCGGTGTGTGTATATAATATGTATTTATTTCGTAGCAATGTAGTTTACTTTTGAGAACCCAAAAAATGCTTACTGGGTGAATGAGTAAGTATTGTAAAAAAAAACAACCTCCGCACACATCGAAAAAGAACTAAGCGGAAAGAAAACCATTTCTTTACAGTGTATTTATTGTAGAACATTTCGTATAAAAAACGATTTTCAAACCGAAAAATAGAAGAAAAAAAAAACCATCGAATATACATATCAATTGTGTCTAGAGATTTATGAGAGGAGAACCGTTGTGCTGCGATTTTCTTTTTTGTGTTCTCCGCTCTCAGCGTTCTCTCTTTGCTTTAAAACGTGCATAAAAATGTGGTTGGTTGCAGTGGTATGTGCGCGCAAAAAAAGAACCAATTCCTCGTGTTTCGTTTTGTAGAAGGTTGAAGAATCTTATCTTGATTGACTTTTATTTAAACTAACATTATGTTTTTCATTTTGAGGTACTTCAACTCTTTTAACGCTTTTGCTCCTTAATATGTATCAGTGTGCATTGAAATGCAGTTGAGCTATTTTAACTATTCCTAGACAAGTTTGTGTGTGTATTTTTTTTGCAAGACTTTTTTTTATCTTCTCTTAATATATTCAACGTTTTTTCTTTACGGTGATAGAGTTAAAAACACACAGAAACTCAAACAAAGGAAGAAAAAAAAACAGAACGACGGTATTCGGTCGAGATTTTCGGGCAATGTAAATACACTTAGAGATATAGAGAAAGAGTTTGGATGTTACATGATAATTCTGGCTGTGAATAATCTATAGTTTTAGCACAATTTGAAATGGTTTTTTTTTCTTGTTTTCTGGTTGTTGTTTTGTTATTAAAATTCACCTATTTTCTGCTTGCCTCAAGAGCGGGTAATGCACATTAAATAACATCAGTATGTGTGAGTAGATGTATGTTCAATACAAATCCATCAACACTAACAACAGCAACTACGGTTAAAATCAGACGTTCGCATTTGCATTGCTTAGGAAGCAGCATGTTTTAAGGCACAGCATTAATGCTAGCATATCGATTGTTACAACAGCGACGCATACACGGATCTCGCGCTCACAATAGCCGCACACACATCTCTCGTGCTCAGTAGCCGTCGCAAAAATATATCACGCAACGTTTGTTGTATGCGTGTGTATGTTTGTTGATGCGACGGCTACTGAGCACGAGAGATGTGTATGCGTCGCTGTTACAACCATCGATATGCTAGCATTAATGCTGTGCCTTAAAACATGCTGCTTCCTAAGCAATGCAAATGCGAACGTCTGGTTAAAATCATGAATTTAATCTAGCTGTTCTTTTTTCGGGGCTGTTTAATCTTACTTTTTGTTGGTTTGTTTCTGCGGGGAAGGAATGAAGAGCAAAGTGTCCTATTATAAATTGTTTGTCCTTTTTTTTCTTGAGAAATTCGGGATAGAGGTCAACTTCATTGTTGTTTCTGCTTGCCTCTCACTGCTTTTTTGTACACATAAACCAACGCAACTTAGGTTAATCACATCAAATTGTTGTTGTTTGCTTGTTTTTATTTTAAATACACTTACACAAATATAGAAACGTCATCTATTTCTGTGTTTATCTCGTCATTTTAATTGGATTCTCTTTGTGTTCTTCAGTAATACACAAATAAAATCGTAGTCTCTTTGTCAACTAGTTTTTGAACTTAATTCTCTTATGTAATAGCCAGGACTCGGTCGCATGCTGTGTGGTCTCTGTGTGTGCATGTGAGAGTGAGTGAGTGTCGATAACAAAGAAGCTGTTCAAAGTGGCTTTCTCTACTTGAAAATAAATGCTTTATCTCCCGTTTCCATCATTTCTATTTACTGTTTTGTCGTGTATCCGTTCTTCAGCTTCTTTCGTTCGCTTTTTTTTGCTGTTATTCAAATGAAAAATATTTGAATGAGTGTGTGGGTGTGGGATGGTGGGTTTGGGGTATTAGGCTGTTGATTGAGAACTGTGTATACTAGAGTATATTAGTGATTGTGATTCAAGTATAGTAATATATTGATTTATGTTTGTATTCCATTTCTTTATATAGCTCGATAGTGCGTTTATTTTGAGTAAATATTGATTCGAAGCCTTTTCATTTCACATTCATTCTTATTATTGTGTGGTGGTCCAACGGTGTGTTGAAATTCTTTCAAATCACTATTTTTGCTGTTTTCATTTGGATTTAAAAAAAAACCCGTTACATACAGGGAAAAAACACTGTGTATTGTGTGTCTCTGTGTGCAATTTGTTTGGTAGCTCAAGTTTTAGTCGAAACCGGTTTTTGATTATTTGTGAAAGAGTTTCATCTCTTTCGAGTTTTTTTTTTAGAGAAAAAAGTAGAATAGAATTGAAACTGGTGGTAGAAAAAAAAGCGAAAACTTTTTGCTTAGAATTTTTTTCCTGTCCGAATTTGATCGAGAAAAGTTTTGCACGCAGCATAGTTGAAAACTGGACGAAAACATTTTCACGAAGTTCTTTTTCGTTTGGTACATTTGTCTTCTGAAAAATTCACAAAAAATTGTGCAAGTATTTATCTTATTTCGTCGTTTTTAGCACTACATGGAATGTAGGCTACTGTAGTTGTTATCTTTTTTCCCAAGAAAATTTTTAGAGTCTTTAGGCAATTTTTTTGGACCGTAAATTAATTCATTTTAATATCCATATTTTTTTTATTTCAAATGAAGCAATTACGCCTAATTGCAAAAATGAAATAAAACCATGTTCTTGTACTCCTTCACTTTTGAGATAACTCAAAAAAAAAAAATTACACTTTTTTCGTTGTCAATGTGAAATAATGTACGATGATCATTCACATTGAATGTACATAAAACACATAAGTGGAGAATACGATATCATCATATAAATTTATTTAATTATTTTTGACAATATTAAAATGATTTGTATACAAAAAGTATACTACGATTAAAACTACATTCCATGTAGTGCTTACGATAATAATTTGATGAGAAACATCAAATTAATTAAACCCCTTAAATTTACAAGCTTCAAAAACGCAGAGCGGAGCAAAGCGAAGATCTGCGGTCTTGTTTTTCTTCTCTCTCTCTCTCTCTCTCGTTTACGTGCTTTATTTCTGTCTCGTTTTCATCTCGATTTAACGTGTTTTTTCTTCTCTTCTTCAGCTTTGGTCGGAGCAGATATTTTGAGCTTTTTTTTTATCTAAAGAAAATCCGACGAAGAAGTGTACATATTTTTTAAAGTGCTGTGTGATGGAATTATTGCCCTTGAGCTAAATTTGATTGTTGGAGAGCGTGAATTTCGTTCAATGAACTTTTTTTTTAAAACGTGCCCCTAATTTGTTATGTAAAAACTGGAGATTTTGCACAGTTCAACATGAACTATTTAATTGATGCCATAACATAATGGAATATTTTACGCTCAACGGGACAAAACGACCCCTGAAATTCGCACACGCTCCGTCGAACCGACCGACCAAATGACAGAAGAAAGACAGAACAAATAAATATCAACAAACAAACGATGACTTTAATTAGTCTGTGTGTGTCTCGAAAAAATGTTTATTTCGAATTCATTTAAAATTCTTTTAAAGCTGTCTCAAAGCACAATATCCTTTTAAAACTTTGTCATTTTCTATCTCCATCTCCCTCTCTCTCTTTCTCTTTCTCGTTCTCTATGTGTTGTGCTTGCTCTATGTGCTTGTGATCATCACACTGAACAGATTAAATGTGCATGTTTATTTCATTTGTACGAAACGTGGCCTGTCATTGAACATCTAATATCATAAATTCGAGATTCGCATTGTGTGTGTGTTTTTTTACTCTCTTGTTCACTCGTCCCAATTTATGCAATGGGCAATGGGCAACAACATTCACATAATTTCGCAATTTTCACGCATTTCATTGACTTGATTGTGTATATTTAGCTAAACATTTTCAAATGCTATTATACATCATTCTAAATGTACTATTCGCTTAGAAAAAACCTCGTTTTTTTTGCTATCATATTTGATTTTCCCATTTATTTTTCTTGTTGTGGGTGTGGGTGTATGTATGTGTTTTTGTGTGAAAATTCTTGTTTATTAAAAAAAAACGTTTAAAAAAATCTATTTGCTCTTTTTATTCTCTGTCTCTGTCTATCTCATTACATTTGAATTGTGTCAAAAAGTGTGTTCTATACGTGATAAAAATGCTCTGTTTAAAACCGTTTGATTGAATTGCTTCACTTTGTATTGATTTTGTGCGCGTGTTGAGTGTTTGTATATCTTCGTTGAAGAATAACGAGAAGTGGCGAATGTGCAAAGATTTAGATGATTTTTCACCTATTTTTTTTTTGTTCGGAAAAGTTTACTTAAGAAAATATTCAAGGTTGTATGTGCTAGTTGTAGTTGATTGTATAGCAAATTTGTTATAATTAATAATTTTGTTTTCATTTCGATAAAATGGGAAAAGTTTATGTTTTCGATCCGAAAAGGTGCATTTACATTTCATATAATATTTAAAATAACCTTGGTTGTTGTTTTTTTTCTTCTGTAAAACTTTTGCGGGGAAACTAGTTTTGAACATGTGTAGACATAGGCGCCGTATTGTGGGCATATTTGTGGACAGGGACTCATTAATAATTAATATTGAGCATAGATTGCAATATTTACGTTACATTATGAAACATTTGTGATTTTTCCTTCTTTGATATCAAAGAATTGCTCATGGGCATGGTGTGCCTTGGTATTGTTAGCAACTGGGCTAATTCCGGTTTAAAAATACTTAACGAAAAAAACAGAAGTCCCAAGAAGAAAATAAATTCAGCCTTGTATAGTCAGGTGCAGTAAGGTCAATATCAATCGATGCGAATTCCATTTAGTCCGCTTCGTTCTTTTAGATCGAAGGAATCGTGTGGGAAAAAACGAGATTTTCCGCGAAGAATTACGGAAAAACACTGTAAATTGTAGGAAAAATAAGTGTGTTTGTATATGGAAGAGCCTCCATAATCCGGGAGAGGTAAGTCGCTGAAGAGTCAGAATGTGTGTATATTTCAATTGAGCATCTAAATGGCGTCGTAAAAACAATACACAAGATTCCAGCTGAATGTTTTCCTTATCAATTGCTTGAGTACATCGGGCTAATTCCGGTAATTCGGTGATACACTTTCTAAACTTACTCCATCATCGCTTATTTGGTTGCAAAAATATATATATATATATGTATATAATATATATTATGTCATGTTGTATAATTCAATAATCCTTATAAAATAACATGTGTATGTGAGTGTGTATGACCTTTTTGTTTTTAAATCCATCAATTCTCTTAAATGTTGGATATCCCATTTATGTACAATTAGTGATTTTCAGTTTGATTCTCTGAACTGATATTGCGTTCGCTCTGTTGCTTCTCACTCTAAATTTTCGCCACTTTAAATCGCAAACATATATTTGGTATGCATCATCAGTAAGCCCATGTATTGCTTTATGGAACCGCAGCCGTGCTTTTCTGAACACTTTTGTAATTCCTCGATGAGGAATCCTCATTGCGTGCGTTTATTTTGCCATGAAGATGCGTTTATATCATACATTTTAATATTGCTCTCGAGAACTTGCAAACAATTCCAAGTATTTCGGGAATCAGAAATCAGAGTTCGAGAACACTTGCGGGTGGTGGCGATCCAGGAAAATTGTTCTCTTAAAATTGCACCCACTTGCACTCCAAATCGCAGTGGCGAACGTTAAAAGTGCGTTTGGAAAACTTGAAACCACGAACAGCAAAGTTTCAAAATTGAATGATTGAAATTCGAAGTAACCGACGACGAGAATGAACCCGAGAATGGAAAAAAAACCACCACTATGGAGAAAAGTTACACCGTCCAGTTGATTAATGAAACCAATTGTGGCTTTTCAACTACAATGTCAAAAACCATTGCGCTATCTATCCCTTCGTTCAATCCATCTACAACTACTACTACCTCTGCTTTTCTCTCTCTCTCTCTCTCTCTCTCTCTCTCTCTCGCTCGGGTTTGGTTTGTTTCAGGTGGCAAACTTTGTGGCCAAGTGATCGTTACAATGAAGCGCATCAACCAGTCGACAGCTTCATGGAAAATACCATATAAAATGCTTAATAATGCATAAACTTTTTAATTTTCCATTGCAACAAATTAGATGGAGGTTTCCGTAATCATGAATATATAAATAAATAGCGAAGAGTTGAGGAAGATTATGCAATTTGGAAACAGTTCTATCTCTGGCTGCAGCGAAAATCGAACATCAAGTGTGCAATTTAAAGCTTTTGCAATGTGATTTTATGGGGCGTCAACCAGTTCTCAGTGTTTATTTTCTCACTTCTTCCCGGAATTTGTGTATGTGTGTATGTGACATCGCTAAAAAAAATCATGTAAATTCATTGATCGAGTGGATGGAGCGCGCACGTGATACCGAAACGGAGTATTCAAATCATATTGAATGTGTATTGTGTATGATAGATAGCAAAAGCATCAATTTGCACCATTGTCCTCTATTAGACTCAATAGACGAACGCGAAATATAATTTAAATTATTCATAATAATTAATTCGTTTTCATGTTTGATATGGTCACGAATTTGTAATTAAAACTAAAACTCAACTGGTTATTCCCTGTGCCATAGTTGGGTGCGGCTTCAATTAGCTATCCGCTCTAGATAACACTTTTTCACTATTGCTCTCTGTCACACTCCCTCGTCGATAATAATGTAAATAAAAACAATGTGTCCACGCGCAATTTATGCATGATTCAATCAAAATCGTGTGTATGTCTGTGCTTTCGATGAATCAATTTGATCCACACAAAAAATGGTGATGATGAGGCGGCGTCGCTCACCCACATGGCCAATATTTTCAAAACGTGGAACAATGATAATGATTTGTTGATTTAACAACTTGGATAATCGAATGGAAGAAAAGGAAAAAATACGAAAATAAGAAATAATAAACACGTTAAAGTGGACCGACAAAAATCAGTTTTTGATTCAATAACTAAGTGGACTAGGATTGTTGTTTTTCTTTTTCTCCCTTCGTTTCTTTTCTTTATTTTTGTTTTTTTTTTACTTTTGTTGTTGTTACTAAATTCTAGCATAATTTTTAGGTTTTTTTCCGTGAGGAGGAGGGTCATTCCAATAAATATTCATATATATATATATATATATATATTTGGTAGATAGCTTTACAACTTAGATTGAAAGACGGTCGACAATTTAATAATAATAGTCTGTGGAAGTGTTGCTATGTACACAATTACACTTCGATTTTGGTTTTTCGTTTACAACATGTAGCAAACAAATTCTTAGTAATTTGGTTGTTGGGTTTCAATTTCATTTCAATTTTGTTTTTCATTTAAATTAATTAATTGACTAGGCTTTTTGTTTTAAAAATATCATCTTATGAACTTGTCCTATACTTCTTGGGTTCTCTAAGCACTCGCTCGCGGTCACGCTCGCACACTCGTTCACATTCCAACACAAATATATATAAATACATTTTAATTTACCTTTTATTCATTCATTTATTTAGATAAAAACAATTGTTTCGCCTAAGCTCTGTCCCATAGAATATACTTTGATCGATTTTGACATTTAAATTCACGTTTTTGTTGTTTTGCTTTGCTTTTTCCATTAACTCGGAAGGAGAAAACTTCAACGAAGTGAAACGTTTTTATTTTTTTCTTAAATATTTTCTTCTCCCCGCGTTTTTGTTTTCTGCTTCATGAATTTTAAGTTTTGTTTAAATTTACTTCTAGGTGTGTCATTTACTAAAAAATATAATAACGATTCGCTGCGCGTTACACATGCAATTTACATAAACAACATCATATTCAATACTTTTTTTTATATTTGATTTCTGTGTGTTTCATTTTAACCATAGAACGATTCCAGATACATAACATTGGAGACGTGTGTTCTTAAAATTTGTGTTGGGTGTAATTTTTTTTGCCATATTTGTTATTCGTTTGGTGTATGTGTTCTCTCAATATATTCATTGTATAAATTATCCATATTTTGTGGGAGGAAAATGCCGCTTATAATTGTTGGTATGTATTTTTTTGTGTCGTCATCGTGTGTCAACATGTCTTATATTTCATAACTCATTCTTTCTTTTTGTGCTTGTGAATATATGAATGCTATTGTTTTATTATCATTATTTTTATTTGTGTTGGTTTTTCCCTTTTTCAACGAGTGGGCATCTTCGTTCTCCGAAACTTCCGAATTACGTAGGCTCATGTGTTTCTAGTTTTGTCTTCAAACAGATTTTCTTTTCATTATTTCCTTCGTAAGCCACGTACTCGTGTCGCATCCGAGCGACATTGAGTGAAAGAAGTTGACGAAAATGATGTCCGAACCCACTTCATGAAGAATTCAAAAATGAATTGTTCGAAGAGAGAGAAAAAATGGTGAAGAACGAAACGTGCAAACGTTGGAAATGGTGCTTATGTTCTGGAGGTTTCATGGCTAACATTTACACTATAATTTGTGGTTAAATTGTGTATGTTTTTTTTTGTTCTTGTCTTAATAAAGTTCATACCATTTCGCTTGGCCATGCTGTGTGTCTCTGTGTTGCGCAAACCCAGTTCAGTCACAGGATACTTTTTATGGATATTTAGAAGGAAAAAAAGTGGAGCCTTGTTTGTTCAATCAGTCCCACGCGTGCCGTGCCATCACCGAAACATAAACAGATGAGGAAGGAAAACAAGAAAGCGAAACAAGACCATCTCCAGCGGCATTTCTCTTTTCCACGCTCTTTATTTCTTCGTCGTCTATTTCACTTCGTCTCATTCACAAACACACACTGTTCGGTCCATTCTTTTTTTCCGTTTCATTTTAATGTGTCGCTGAGGTGTTCGGCTTAATTACTTGCACATTTCCGCATATAATAACGAATAAATATACAAGATATACCCGTGCGCGGTGCGCGGGCGAGCAAGCGAACGAACATTCTTTACTTTGATAAGGAACTAAATGATGTGCTTTTGTGTGCTTTAAGTACGAATCATAATTGCATACACAATCGACGAATGCGGCTGGTTAGCTGGTTGGATGGTGATGGTGTTGTTCTATTGTATTTCGAATCTTCTTCACTCCCTGTGGCATCATTCATCGCGAGTCATCTTGTTAGTGGCGCCGCTTTTATGATCTAACGATGAACACTGAGGAGCGTGCAAGTGCGCGCGTTTACTCCCCTTCTACACCAACATAATATGGGCGACGAAAGAGGACACGTTCACTTTCTTTCTCTCTCCATCTTTCCCACTGTTTCTTACGAATAAAAATGCTGTCATTTTATGATTTACTTCATTTGTCCTTCCATTCATTTTAATAGCCACTTAATGGAATTTAGTTTTGATTTTGATACGTTTCCGTCTGTTGTCGTCTGTCGTCGTCGTCGGCATTTTCACATTATAAATACACAAGAACCATCAGAAAATGTATAATCATAAATACATCCGCATTTCAACACATTATTCACTTGATTCGCTGAAATGTTAGCTGCTTCATTTTTCGCACTATATATTTTCTCTCGTGTTTGTTTGTTTCTTGTTTTTTTTTTCATTTTTCCTCTCTATCTCCGCTTTTCCATGAACTGAATTTATTTGTTTTATTTTCACAACATGCACAAATTCACACATTATAATAATGCTCTCTCGTTTGGGTTCATTGCGTGTATTTTGTTCCACTTGGCAGTGTGTTTGTTGTGTGTGTATTTATCTGCCTGCTGCTTTTCCCATTTTCTTCAATACATATTTGGATAACCATTAATCACATTTTACTGCAAATTTACGCATTTATAAGTAATTTATTTTGCTTTTGTTTGCGCCGTTGAGTTTTTTATTTTATTTTTATTTGATTCATTTATTATTATTATTTAGCCGACTTTGTCGTTTTGTCAGTGTTATGATGATGATGATGATGATTTTGGATTTCTCTATTCATTATGCGGCGGCGATAGTTGTTTGGTTGGGCTCTTATTATGAGACGATTATATGCGGCGCACTGGCAAGCACCGCAAACGTCGCCAGCACCGTAAACAATGTGAACACGATCAAGCAAAACCTGTGGAATAAAATTAAACGAAAATGAGAATGAGGAAACCAAAAGTGGAAGCGAGGGAACAGCAATCAATTGATGATGGTAAAAATTAAGTCGAGAAACAGGTAATTTAAGCATGAACTAGTTGCTGAAGAGAATAGCTTTTGTTCTATGCAAAATCGATTGTCTTCAAATTGCACACAAACACACGCACACACACAAAATCCGTCTCTGACTTACTGATGATTGTACATGCTGTTCTGAATGCATATACAGATTTAGCTTTGGTCGGAACACAAAACGGTACATTTCAAAACGCTGATGATTGACAACTGTGCGCGCACACGGTTTGGTGCATGAGTTGAGGATGTTTTGTGTGTACGTGTATCACATACAAATTAAATTGAGTCGAAACCCAAGTCTTAATCGTCGCGTTCAACAACATTTTGTATACAACCGATTTTGCATTGAGCAGAACACAAATTGGATATAATTAGCGAGAGAGGGAGAGAGAGAGAGAGGAAGGAGTGTATGTGTAGCACGGTAAATTGAGTGTAATTGAATAATTGTCATACCTGTCGACAACCATTGCCGCAAACTTCCAGTCACTAACTAATTCAGCTTCATCGTCTGATCGTCGCATTCGAGCCGTTATAAATTGCAATTCCTTTAATATTAAATGTAGGTCTCTGTGATTACAATTCGAACTATGGTGTTCTTCAACCGTCGTTGGTCTTCCGAAACTGTGAGGCGCGACACGATGCAAAGCGATACACACGGGCATGAATGAAACAAAGAGAGAGAGAGAGAGAGAGAGAGAGAGAGAGAGAGAGAGAAAAGAAGAGGGAAACAATTAAATCGAATCCAAAAAATTTCATCAAGTAGATACATTGTAACATTTTCAGTGGTACATACTTTGAACCAATCGCAGTTTGCGATGAATTGAGGCCTTGATGCCTAAAATCGTCTTCAATATCGAGTACATTGGCAAGCAGTGATTTCGATGAACGCTCTTTTAACTCTAATTCTTTCATTCGATTTGATATTAAAATTGATTTTCTAGTTATCTTACGACCCGGCCGTCCCATTCGCAATATCCAAGGCAACCACATCAAAAATACTGTTCTAATCTGCGCTCGCGGGGCAAAAAGAAAAAGAGAACAACGAGATAAAGAGAAAAAAAGAGCAAGAATGTTGTGTATTAATAAAAGGGCACGCAGCAATCATATAATTTTTTTTTGATAAATCCAATTTGCAATCGTTTTGTATTTAACAGCGAGCATTTTGTGTGTGCCAAAATGTAGTATACGTTTCAGTTCGTGATGTTTCGAAATGATGGGTGTACATTGTAGCATCAAACCAGGGCCTAAAATTTCGGGATCTTCTACCCGATTCGGGATCCTCTTATTTGAAAAGTGTTGCTCTTATTTGAAAATCGGGATGTTCTTAAATTTTGAAATTTTAGGCCCTGCATCAAACCGAACCGAATCGAACCAAACAAAGAAAAATTAATCATAAAGTCGATTGGCACAACGAGAAAAAAAGCGTCGAAAGCAAACAAAAGGCAAACATTTAATTCAATTGTCCATTTACCCATGGAGGCATTTCGTGAATGTCGGCAGTTCGATGGTGATAGTTCAGCACGACGACCGTTAGCACAACCGATGAGGCAACCATAAACCTAAAACCGAATTGATAATTTTAAGGTTAATAATTTTAGATGAAAACTCAATCAAAGTGGGTTAAAAAAGACTAAAAAAATACATGATGCAATTGAAGTAAGATCCTGTTGGTGATGCAAGGCACATATCGAAAACGCGCCGACAGGCGAAATAAATGATGACCACGCGATTTGTGATTGATGCGATGTGATCAAGGGAAAGCGCGTGCCAACATCCAGAGTAACAACAACATCAGCAATAATTGCACCGATGACAGCAGCATCAACCGCATCCAATTCAATAAATCCAATAGAGTTTTCACACGTTTGCAAACGAATGCAATGTAACACATCGCGTGCGAATTGAAAAACAAAAACCGAAGATGGAAAAAAACAATAACAAAACAGAGAGAAAAAAATTTATTAGTTTACTGGTCCTTTGGTTTGAAACAAACGTGTTCATGGTTCTAAATCTAATTTATGAGGAGTGAAAATATTTGGTATTCTTGTTTTTTTTTCTTTAAATGCTATATATACATATATGTTGTTGGGGCGGAGAACGGTGTCAAATGTGAAGAGAGAATACGCACATCAACGCTTGAATGTCCAATTTTTAATTGAATTATTTGAAAGTTTGGGGAAAGAGAGAATGTGTGTGCTTGGATATGGATGGAAAACTTTGATGGGGTGATTCCATTTTGCACAAAACGCCCCTTCGAAACCGAACAACGGAAAGTGAAACTGTGCTACTGTGTATGAGAGACAGACAGTTTCCATTTTGAAATTCCGACCATATTCTCTCCGCACTTCACATTTGATGTCGCTTTCCCGTCACATAAAATGTATCCAAAATGTGTACAAATTGAATGAGAAAACTAGCTAGCGAATATATGATAAATATACAGACAACAATGAATGACAACAACAAAATATATATATACATATCAACACATATTCACACAATGTACAACTAAAATGAGCTAAAGGAAAGGCATAAAAGGACTTTTAAAAAAAAATACAAAAATATATATAGATTATATAAAAAAAATTGTATCATTATTTACACAAACTGTGTACAATTCAGAGATACAAAAAAAACAACAACAACAGTGAAATGAACAAAATGAAGAAGTTTATGCGTGATGATAATATTTGACAACATCAAACAGACACAAGTAATAAGAAAAGTTTTTTTTTTTATTCAACAAAAAACATTTGCAAAACTCTCATATTGAAACAACAACATCATCCAACAGAGAAAAAAAATGCATGTATATACGTGAATGAAAGAAGATGGAAAGAAATAAGAAGAAATAACAAAATATGGTGGAAACATATTTTTTTTGTTCGGGCTGTGCTCGCCAGCCGACACAAAATATGTACGAATTTAAATGGCAAACGGAATAAAAACAATGGAATAGAATTTGGAATCAGAGATTTTCTTTTGGTGCGGCCAAAGAATGGAAAAAACAACAGCCGCAAAGTTATCTGAATTATTACTGAGTATTATTTACAATGTCAATGGAAATGATAAAAAGAGCGAATGGTTTTTTTATTTTCCATATTATAAAAATATACACCGAGAACAACGAGCGATATATATCGTGTACATAACGGATATATTCAGCACGGTTCAGTACACGTATGTATATATGCCAGGGATGTGAAAGATGTGCGGAAATATATCGAATGAGTAAAGTGTATTGCTTAAATTTAATAAATTGATCTGATAATACACGATAATATTATTGCTGCAATCATAATCAACAATATTAGTAACTGTAACTGTAACAATATCTACAATAAGTGTACAGCACTGCCACTGGCACAGACACTCACACACGCATCCATCCATTCAAATAAAAGGCATTTCTTACGTTCGTTCATCATACATATTCGTACAATGGGTTCTCATTTCGCACTCCGACAGAGTGCGAACAATCGAGATTGAGACAGTGATGTGTGGCGCATAAAAGAACGTGAGTGTGTGTATATATACGCCATAAGTAATTCACAAGAAATTGGGTTGTATTTTATGCTAAACATCCACTATTGAAATTAAAAGCCAACCGAAAATGTACTCGATTTGGATGTGTAATTTACAAAAATATATCTGTATGAAAAACAGTCAACCGCACTTGCTACGGCCTCAATTGCACCCACATTTCTCACATTAGAACCAACAGAAAAAAAGGCAGCAACAGCAGCAACGAATGGCGTTTGGTGACATGCCACACAAATTACCCACTCGTTTGCAAAAAGCACACACGCACTCATACACGCATACAAGGAGGAGAGCGAGAGAGAGAGGGAGGAAAAAATGAAGGAATAAAAACCCCTTTCATTAATTTTATTCAACATATATTCATTTTTATTTTTATTCCGAATGAAGAAAAGTGCCAGCGACTAAAAGTAATAACAATGAAAAACGTTTGCAGCACTTGATTTCGATGATATATGATGTGTAAGTGCTTCTTTGCTTTTCTGCTCGCGCGCTCTCGTGCTTCAAAATGGAAATGCACGAGAAGAAAGAAATGGACGAATGGGATCTAATCGTTGCGTCAACCGTTGCGTATTCATGTTCTCTAAAATGTGTGTATGAGGCAAAGTGTGCTAGAGCAAGAGCCAGAGTAGGAGAAAAAGAGAATGAGAGTGGAACATGTGAAAGGCATTGTTTGGGAAAACGGCTGTAGCAACAATAGCAGCAGTTTGCCAGCCTTCAAAATCTAGTTTATTGAGTGTAATCGCTTCATTCGCTGTGTATTATAACTTGAAATGACATAATATGCATAGCTACTACTTGTGCTACGACATTCCGTACAGGTGTACACCGGTTCACTCGTTCTCTTACACTTTCTCTGGCTCTTCCTAATCCTTAGCCGAAATGTGTTCTCTATACATTTCCCAAAGCTATTGTCGAAATGTGAAGATTTTGCATAATGTTCGGTTCGATTCGAAACAAAGCGTCGCACACAACAATAATAATCATATCAAACAACAAAATAGCATTCGTTTCGCTATTTCGAAATATATGTTCATTCGAGTTTGTCTCTATTCAAATAAGGGCTTTTATACAGATCTCTTGCTTCGTTGATTCTCATTCGATGGCCTGCATTTCCAGTGCATCATCAGTACATTATGAAGCTAACCGATTGTGCACGTATTATATTAGCTCTGGCAGATAAATGTGGATTTCATTCTCTGTGTTTGGTGTATGTGTGTTTGTGTATGGTAAAATTTGGTACATGCCATGAATTCGGCGAAAAGCTCATCACTCTCAGCTTATGCCGATGTCCATAGTGACTGAGTTTTCATTCGAATGAAACTGGCTTTCCACACAAATTGTACAATACAGCACAACACACAATATTGACGAGAGAAACAAAAAACAACGTACATACATATCGAATTGCCAGAACCAACTATACACCTTTTCTCCTTTCAATGAAAAATTGATCAGAATGTGTGCAGAACAACAACAGCTCAACACACAGTTAGTAGCGCAGCTAAATCACACTCTCGATACTCAAAGTGTGTCACACCGCAAAAGAAAATAGAAAAAATCCGTATTTTCGGATCTAATCAAAAACGTATTTACACACCAGCGATATAAATCAGTTGCAAGTTTTCGGATGCGACGACATGGTGCATTTATGTGAGAGTGAAGGCCAAATCTATTTTCTACAAAGTACACAACGTGTGAGAATGTATGTGTGCCTGTGCATTACACAGCTATCCGGCATGATCCATAATGCATACGTGTATGGTTGCATTTACATGAGTTTACGCTCGTGTTTCGAATTAAAAAAAATTTGTGTATACAACTGTACCAGAGAGGAGTGGATAGTAGAGTAGTAAAAATAAATAAATTTGTAATACATTTGCAAAATGCTATTTAGACGATATATTTGTGCGATTTCGATTTTCCTATATATATATATATATATATATTGTATGTATATGCCAGATTGGCTTTTCGATATTCGAGTGCAAGTTGTTCGAAAAAAAGGACGAGAGAGACTGTTTATCGTTTACTTTATTCTACAAGAATTTTCTCTCTGCTTTCGAAAGAAAGAGTTGAATGGGAAAAAAAGAGATGAAAAAAAAGATTTTATGTATATATTTACAAACAAACTTTGTTACATATGTTTTTTGTTGTTGTTGTTCTGTAGAGTAAGTGAATGTTAATGTCAATTTTTCAATGTAGCAAGTCGCAAAACTTGGTGTGTTTTCTCGGTTCAGTGTGTTGAATGTATTTTAAAAATTGTGAGTGTGTATGTATGAGTGTGTGTTAAAGTTTTATCTCTGGCAACAACAAAAAAGGTAAAATTGTTCGTAATGGCCGTAATTGAAAGGCATGTATTGAGACAGACACTCTCGCACACAGCAAAAGAGCGAAAACGAAGCGACAGAATGAAATTATGTAACAGTAAAAACAATTTAATTATTATTTTGGAGCTATTTTTCAACATCCGACGACAGTCAACATACGTGTGTCTTTTCAAATTCCATAGAACCAGTTGTGTGTCACATCATCCACACACACCGACACCACCATCACCACTACCACTACCAGCATCAACACCACCGACGCTAGTTAATTTCCTTCTTCACGCAATCCCACTGACATATACGCACGACATATTAAGCAATAAAATTTGCTACACACCAATCGAGGGGCTTACACACACATACACTCAAATAAAAAAACACACGAAATAAAATTAAAGGAGAACCAAAAGAAGAAAATGTTTTGCAATTTCATGAACATTGTTCATTGAACAACGAACATGTCAGCGTTGAAAAACTTTTCGCACCACCGACGACAACGACGACGACATGCATTCGGGGCGACGAACAAAAACTTTGCTCGGTGTGTGTGTGTGTGTGTGTGTGTTTCGGTGGTGCTCTTTTGAACCGTTTTCGTCCATTTTGCAATCCACCAACCAATATTTGAAGCGTGCAATACCCGGGAATGAAAATTGTGGAGCTAAAAGGGAAACAGAGGAGTTCAGGTACAATTTTCATCACACTAACCAGTAACGACAGAACCAGAATGAAACAATGTACAATCAAGAACGTTCTCGTACATCCATTAAGTAGAAAAAAGTGGCGATGAAAATGAA